TCTGAGAGCTGGAGAGAACTTTGACATTTTTTACAGCTAAAATATTACTTTTGTTATCCTTGTCTTAAAGATGGCAAAATAAAGCCACGGCATCGGGCCATTAGTAATAAGGATCTTCTTCCCTTCTGTTGTTTTTTTTCCCATACAGGAATGCATTGCTTTCCAACAGTCTTCAGTTCAGTCAGTCTGTCTGTCTGTCTCTCTATTCTCTTTGCATTTGCAATTTCCTACCCGTGTGCGATGAGATACATCTCAAAATACAGCAGTTTTTTCCTTATGCTTTAATACAACCTGAGGTAAGGTACTCAAGATCAAATACCTTGGGATGGATTATAACAAAATGTAGTGATGGGAGGATGAGCAACCACAGTTATGTCACCTGGTGGTGGACTGCAGACTGCACCTGCTAAGTATTACCAGGGACATAAAGCCATACCCCATGCCCTGATAATTTATAGTCTCTTCTCTTTAGCAATGTTTTACTTTGCCATATTTTATGTACGTAGTTTGTCCACGCTGTTAAGATGTGAATGCACACAAATTAGAGGAGAAGACATGCCGCAAGGGGAAGAAGTGATTCGTCTTTTCCAACGGGGATCTTGCAAGAGGTTCTAGAGTTAGCATTTGTCCTAAGAGCTTTTGCTGAAGGGTTCTCTCGAGGACACAGGTGTTGTTTGTGAGAATGTTTCCATGCTGTGATTGCTCTTCCATTGGCTCTCTTTATGAGACCTTTGAAGGGCTTAGTGTTTGAGGTCACTGGAAAGAGACCAAGCTTTGGCCAGCGATGCTGGAAAAAAAAAAACAAACAAACCAAAACGCAGGGAATTAATATTAAACCAACGCCCTTAACCAACCTTGCTTTGTACTCTGTCCGTAAGTGCCATTACATGTGTGCCACCTCCTAGCAGTCAGAATGCCACACAAACAAACATCCCCTCGCTAAGCAGGTCGGCAGCAGAGGACTGGCTGCGATGGGAAGAGCTGCGCTCAGCCTCTCCCACCCCAGTGCTTGTAGCTGCACTGTGCAGAGCCCCAGCCGTTAGGGCCGGCACAGCCTCCTTCCTGCCCATAACCTGATGCCACCACTGCTGCTGTGAGGTGATTTAACCACTTCTCTGCCCGACAGCAAGCTTCTCTGGTAATTTTCTCAGCAACAGAGATGCCTTTTTGGAAGCACAGGTTTGTAAAGAGACTGCAACAAAACATCTTGAAACTATGCAAGTCTTGAGAGTGTCTAACCTGAACTGCCCCAATGGATGTCCTAAAGTAAATCTTGAAAGCTTTCTGCAGGCTTGGATGACAGCCGCTCAAGTTTAGTAAAGCGTTGCTATAAGCTTAACTAAAAACAGTGGATGGCATTCATTATACAGGTTTACTGTCCTTTCTGTTGCTCGCTCTTTTGGCATGGGATAGGTCTTGTGCTGTTAGTGAGTTAGATGAAAACTGATCCTGGAGAAAGGAAAGGAAAGCAAAGCTGGTTTTCATTCCAATAGGATTAGCAATGATGAGTGTATGATCACGGCTTTGCCCGACTGTACCTCCAGGGGGGTTCCTGTAATTGTTGCAGCTTTGGACTGTGTTGGCTGCAGTGCAAGGAATCACTCGTGGCCTCACTGGTGTCTGCAAATAGCTGCAATCCTCCCTCCGGCACCTCAAGCCTTCAGACTGCTGTGTTGTGATGGAAAAGCTCCCTCCTTTTCTTGTCTGCTTGCAGCTGATCAAATGTGTTGGATTTGAGTTCATTCTGAGACAGAACAGTCCTGTTACGTCTCTTGTGTTTGTGCATCTCTGCATTTGGTTTGGTATGAGCCATGAAATCCAAGCAGTCCCTTCCTGCATTAGCCCCGAGATGAGAAGAGCAATGCACCGATGAGTGGGAAGGGCTTTATAAATCTTCTATTTAGGAATCGCTCTTCATGTTATCAGTATATTTGATTACTGGAGCCATGGGCCATGAGTTACTTGCAAGCTGTTTAGCAACCTTGTGCTTTGTTTGCTCTTTGTAAAGTCTAACTTTAAAGTGCCAGGGGAATGTCTGCTGCACCCAACAGACAAATGCCTCTGGTTGTGATTAAAAGCATCTTGTGCTTGATTTGGTGTCTCTGCCTTCAGCCTTGCTGCGTGTAGACTGTGGGGTTCCCACTGAACCAAGATGCGTAGACTGAGTTCTTCTGAGAAGTGTGCCATAGCATGTGTTTGGTTTTAGAAGCTGAACTCTTTTAAAAAGAGTAGCAACAATGCTGCCCAATAGAAGTCCAGTTGGAGTGAGTTATGCTGTGGGATGCTCAGGCAGAAATCTCTAGGGGAAGCAGTAAGAAAGCTAGGAATAACCATTTGAGTGGTAAGCCTTGCCTCTCTGGATACTTAACAGTACAAAAGTTAAAGCAGGGAACATCTTTTACATTAACTAGACTGAACTTCTGCTATCCCTGTTGAATATGAGTCTAGTAAAAGAGCATGGGTCTCATCTAAAACCCCTACAAAAGCTGAAGGAGCTTCATAGTTTACATCTGTTGGCTGAGCTTGCTGAATATCCGGGTCCTGCCATCGCAGTGTGCTTGGTTTGCTGTCTCTAGGAGGCATCACAGGTTTTGCTTCAGGAAAGCCCTTTGCACCAAGTTCTCGCAAAAGCGAGAAGTGAAAGCAGTGCTTTTCTGAGAATGACTGACTGTTTGGGTATGTGAGGAGTCCCCCTCCAGAGATGAGAAAGGCATTCCCCTCTGTTCTGTTTCCGACAACGTTCTGGAAAGATTCCGAGGGCATAAAGATTGCTCTGTTCAAGGTGGGCAAAAAGTTTAACTTCTTCACCTTCAGTCTGAAATGGGAGGTCATTGGGTTTTTTGCACACGTTTGGTCTTCTTTCAGCAAATCAGCTGGAAAGTGTTTGGCGTTTGGTCAAATTATCCTCATTTCCATTTTCTAAATCTATTTCTTCTCAAATCAATCAAGAGGAAAATTGCAGTGCTTGAAGTTGGTGATAGTGCCTCCGTGGAAGGGATCCTAGCAGAAATATGATGGGTTTGCCACATTCCTAAAGCATCTTATCCTGACCTTATGTTTCCAAAATGCATAAGGATGCATATAATGCATTATGTACTTTTGGCATAAAGAAGTGGGAATCAATGACCTGATTTTTTATTTTTTTTTTCCCAAATGTAATTATTCTTGCTGCTTAGCATCCAGTCTTACAACACCAATCCTAATAATATTCATGTTTTGCTCCTTGGTTTTAAGGCCAAGGAAAACAGCAAACTGTAATGTTGAACATGGCCAAAGCACAGCTTGTGTCTCTGCTGTGTTTCATAAACAGGTGATGATGTGCTGCTGATGGAAAAAGTCTTCTCCAGCACTGTGCCCATGTTTAGACATCTTGCTTGAATATCCTCCTACATTTTAATGGACTGCTGAAATTTGGACTGGTAAAACACTGGAAAGCTGTGGTGCACGGGGCACCGTGAGGCTAGTTTTGTGTTGAACCAGCACTGGACTAAGTATTATCCTCTGAATCTCCAGAAGAATTCGTGGAAGCTACTTTCAGTTGGTTGGGTTAATACATGATGCGTGGTGTTAGGCAAATATCTGCATCTCTGTGTCTCCATTTACCCCATGTACACGAGGTTTGATGATCCTGAGAGTAACACAGTGGTTATTGTTGAATGTTGAATGAATTCAATCTACAATTTTATAAATTGTAGAAAATGGGAGGGGAAGAAGGAAGGCAATCCAAGATCTTAGTCTTACTTTACTTCCAGAGATTTGTTTCTAAACATAATTTTTGAAAAACGAAATGCAAATCCTTACTTAAAACAAACCTGGTGTCTGGAAATGTGTTTTTCCTTCGGCTGTCTCTAGTTGGCATCACAAGTGAGCTTCTTGGTGGGAGCAGTGATTTGATCTTCTACTTCACAAAATACAATTGGATTAATGAGTTTCCAGGCATGGATTTGCAGCCATGCTTTATACAGATAGCATCCTTGAGCGGTGCTGCAGACTGTCACCATTAGCTCTATTTCTGTAGAGGAGACTCCCTTGCACTGCCCGAATGGCATCTGTAAATGTGATGAAATCTCCATTGTGACTGGATGGACTGGAGAAAAAGCCCATTGCACAGAGCAGCCCTGCTCTCAGCGCAGGAGTAACTGAGTGCCTTGAAGTAGTGCATTAAGTGGTTCAACTGCTATCCATCGCATGCAGTTAATAGGAATTGCCATACTTTGTTCACCTTAGGATGGAGATGAATCATACCAATTCTTTTCAATTTATCTCCGTAGAAGGGTTTCACAGGCTCTTGATCATTCTCATCTTCCTCTTTTGAACTCCCTCCAATTGTCTGTACAAAGCATGCCTCAGATTCATTTCTAAGTGATTTTTTTAATAGCTGTGAAATGCACCTTTCCTTTGGCAGTGGTCTTGGAGCTGCGTATTAGATCCATATTTACTTTGGCTTCTTGACCTGAATTGTTTTTATTTTTCAGCTGCATCTTCGAGCTTGCTGCACGTTTTCTGATACAGGAGCAATTTAATTAGCTCTAGCTGCTGAAAACCATCAGCATTGCTGTGCTCTGCTTGATGCGGTTGGGGTACGAATATGTCACGAATGTGGGCTATGAAATTAACACCAGCATCTTCTGAGGAGCAGTTTTATTGAGCTCTCACTTAGGGCATTTGCAGATTTTCTTCCTCAGCAAAGTTTTAAATGTTCTTTTTTTTTTTTCTTTTTAACTCTCCAAGGGATCCTCCCAACAAGAGGCAGCTCAGTAGGAACAGGACCTGGACAGCCTGCTCCAAGTGACCCCATTGGGTTGGACGTCCATTGCTGCCTTCCAGGCTCATTTGTTCTATGATCCTCGTTCAGATTTCCATCTCCTTTGCAAACAGGCAGACTTGCCTCTGTACTGGCTTCACTTCATAAAGTGCTGTGCTGCACTGCCACATGTATGTTGTCAAGCACGTTGATGCACATGGCCTTATTTGTTGATGTATGTGGTCTTTCTGTGCAGATGCTGTAGCAGTTCTTGGACTGACAGATCCCCGACTCTGCTACTTACTTGATGGATTCCTCTTCATTTACGCAGTCATCATCACGGCCCTTTTTGTGAAAGCTAAGGTCAGTCTATCTAAACGCTGATGCATTTGGCTTTTGTGGTGCTAGCATGGTGGGCCGAGCTGGAAAATGGGGGTGGAAGCAGGAAGCACGTCTCTTAGAATAAGAGCTTAATATTTTCTCTCTCTTCTCTTTTTTTTTTTTCTCCTCTCCTTTTCTGGTACCAACCTGAGTATCTTGGGCAAATGCTGTCTGAGGGTTCAGGAGTGAAGGGAAAGTGTATGAACTACATGAGAGTACTTTGATGCCACGGTTATGCACGCAGTCAGAGATTCTGGATAGAATAGTTGGGAAATGGTTGGTGATGTGGTTTCTTCTGCAGCTTTGTCGTTGGAAAGAGAAGAGAGGGTGTGCAGAAAATTCAGGACAATGCCAAGTTCATGAAGAAAGTAGCAAAATGTCTCAGAAGGCAGACATGCCCTTGCCTATAGCCCTCAGCATGCTCACTGTGCTTCTGGTCTGTTCCGCTGTTTGCTGGTGAGGTGCGTGGTGCTGAGCTGCAACAAGGAAGCTGCTGCAGGGAGGAAGGAAGCAGGAAAGCCATATGTAATGCCAGGCTTTCAGCCAAAAGCAGCAGAGCTGAAACACCGTTGTCATGAAGCTCCATTAGGCCAGTGGAGCATCTTCTGGGCAGCTCTTTGTCTTGACCCAAACCTAGAAGTTATATATTTCCTAAGGAGTAGCATCTCTCACTATGCTTCCTGCTCGGTGCAGTTTTTTTGTGGTGGCTTTTGCCAAAAGTACAGCCTTGTTATGGCCTTTTGTTTATGGACAGCGTGGCTGATGTTGGGTTCTGTTAATAGAAGATGCTTGGTAAATTGCTGGCCCTGTCAAAGGGAAAGCATGGAGTGGGTAAATTGTAATTACTATAATTTTTATTTTTATTTTTAAAGGAAAATCAGATTTATCCTAGGTCTAAATGCAAACTCAACTAAAAGGTTGTTTTTTTAAGAAAGATTTAATGTATGATAATGATTCAGTAAGATTAAGGCAATACAGAGTGCAGCATAACACTCTCCAAAAAGAGTAGAGCACGAAGGAGCTGCTCTCACTGACTTAATGCTGCCCTTTCTGCCTGCAACAATTAACTGCTTATCAGTCCTGTGTGGAGCAGGATTTGTATTGCTGCAGCTCCATCAGTGCCACAGACTGCCTGTGTTTGGGCTGCCCAGCTTCTGACAAGAGGAGAGAAGGAACGAAAGAACAGAAGCCTCTGTTCCCCTGCTCACGGTATGGCTTCTCTTCCAGCTTAGCCAGTCCTCTGAACCACAGCTGCTGCTGGGCCAGGATGATGTGTATAATGTAAGTATCTGCTGTGTTATGTGTGCTTCTTCTAAGTCGTTCTACCTCTCTGGGCATTCAGTGAGTTGCCCATGGATCAACAAAATGTGGGATGAAGCAGCTGATGAAAGCACTGCACCCAGGTGTGCAGCATAGCAGTTAGAAGGAGAGTTATATGGAGGAAAACCAAAGCTGACTGGGGCTGTTGCATGAGGCCGTACTGGAGGCCCACCCAACCCTGTGGCCTGGCCACAGACAGCATCAGAGGCTCTCCCTGTCATGAGAGGATGGACACAAGCACCTGCCCGGCCTCCTAGATGAACTCCTTATTCGTGGTAGCATTGAATTCTGGCTATACATCTGATTGCCTTGATTTCTGTTTTTGTTTTTATTTTTCTCTCACACTCTTGACCGTAGCCACATCCTGTGACAAGTTCCACCATTTAACTGTGTAATTTATGAAAACTAATGTTCTGTTTTCAGTTTAAATTACCACCTGTTGCCTTTCCAATAGCACTGGATACTGATACTCAATACAGTATAACTGTGCTCTTCTCATCTGAAATCTCTCCTTTGCCCTCTTCCAAGGTAACCTTTTCCAGATGGGAGATGTGTGACTTCTGCATCCACTTGATGCAGATGTAGATGAGCTGCTCTGCAAAATCAAACAAAAACAACAACAAACAAGGTCTTGTACATACAACCACCAGTGGGAGAGAGGACATGGAATTCAGTCTCCCTTTCTCTCCTGCTCTTTTTCAGCCCAGTTCTGCTTGGAAAGTTTCTTGATGTAAACAGTTTGCAGCTTTCTGCTGCACGGACCACTCTTTCTGGCTTCCATAGCTTTGTTGTAGACAATTCTGTTGAAAGAAAAGTAAAAACTAAGAGGTAAAACCTTTTTGCAATACTCAAGGAGCTGGACTCCAAGCAGGGTAATTTATTTTCTCGTGCTAAGCCGCGCTCTATTTCTTTTCTCATGATTGCGACATTCACCACTGCTTCTTCCTTTCTCATTTCAGAAACTGTCCCGTGGGCACAGAGATGAATACGATGTGCTGGGCACCAGGCGAGGCGCAGACCTTGAGAAGGGCGGGAGACACGAGGTAGCTTCCTCCCACATCCCCCCTCTCTACTTTCTGAATCCAGTGCCTTCCTCCTCGCATCTGACCACAGTTCAGACACACGTGCGCCCAGCACCAGTTTGCGAGTCACGGGGTCCTCCTTGGGAGGGAATGGCACAACCCATGCGGCGGCTGTGGCGCTGGCAGCCTCACGGGGACAAAAGTAAACCTCCCCCTCTCCTTTGATCTGTGCCCTCACGGCTTTGCTGAGAACTCACAGCCACACCGCTGGAAGTGACACCCGGCCCGGGCGGATGCGGGGCAGGCGAGGTGGAAATGAGTGTTTCGTTTGCAGTCTGCGTGTGATGCTGCCAGGCGAGCAGCAACAGTGTCAAGCAGCAGCCAGAGCAACTGCTTCTGCTGCAGAGCCCAGCAGCTTCAGAAGAAGAGGGAGGGGAAACCTTCTGTGGGGCATGCCTGCAGGTGGCAGCTGGGGGGGGATCGAGCAGAGGACGAGAGAACAGAGTTAGGAGTTAAGAGTCTTTCGGGTGGAGGTGAGGTGGGCCCAACTGGCTGTGTCCATGGAGCTGTAGCTGGGCCTTAGAGCAAACCACAGGCTCGTATGGGTGGTGGACAGCAGCAGTGCAACACTTGGGCAACATTTTCCTTTTTCTTACAGCAGAGAAGAAAGAACCCCCACGACACCGTTTACTCTGTGAGTAGAGAACTAAGGGTTGGGGATGGCTGCTTAGGGATCTCTTGATAGACTGATCTCTGGTGACATGTGATGTGGCCAGCGCTCTGAAGGACAGAGCCACGAACACTTGTGTTCACATCTCACCCTGGCTCTATCCAGGTGCTCAGTGCTTGCTGAGAAGTGAGCTTTGGTTCCCATGGCTGATTCACAGTCTCTGATCAGTGCTGGTTGTGAGCCTGTGGAACGGAGGAAGGGAGAGCCCCTCTCTCTTACCTCTCACCCTACTGTGTTAAAGACTGTTCTGTCCCTGGACCACAGCAGTGTGTTGGGTTTTGTCTCCTGAGCAAACTCTGCTTGAAGGTTTTGTTCAGAGAGTTTTGGTGCAGTGCAGTACGTGGCGCCAGTGTAGCTAAATGATTTGGTCATCATTCTTCATTTCAGTTGTTGGAGACAGTGTGGTGCTGCTGAGCAGAGCTGATGGTGCCTCGCTTATGCTTCCTGCACATCAGCCAAACCCACCACTGTCTCTCCTCCGGATGGGGTCATAGTTCTGCACTGAGGCTGGGTCCTTCGCGGCAGTCCCAGGCGTGTAGGAGTGGAGCGTGGGCACATGGGGACTGGGTTAGCTTTTCTCTGACACTGACACCTTCCCCCTCTTTCTTGCAGTCCCTGCAGAAGGACAAGATGGGCGAGGCATACAGTGAGATTGGGAAGAAGGGAGAGGTGAGTCCCTCCTACAGGGAGCGGGGGTAGGTGTTGCTCACTGCTGCTCCCTTGCAGAGCAGCAACCCTGTGTGAGAGAGCCTGCAGCTGAGGGCAGTTATCTATTTCCTGTAGTACCGGTGAGATAGGTACAGCAGAAAGAGATGAAGCTACAGTTACAGCAGCCATAAAGCCTGTTGGGGATTGGACAACGAGGTTTGTGCCACTGGCATTAGAAACATGGCCCATACACAGCTGTTGTATTCCTGAGGAGACTGAGTAATGTCAAGGGGGAAACACTGCAACTTTCCACACAAAAAGTCTGGCAGTGACCTCAGTCGTCATCCGAGATGAATGAGGAATACCTGAAGGAAATGCCTGATTTCAAGGGCTGCAAAGCTCAGGTCGCAGCACCGTTGAGCACTTACTTTCCTCCAGGGCAGCCCTGAGGTGGAGTTTCACAGTGTCTCTCCGTGGGCCACCGCGTCTGCTCTGCCCTATAGCCACAAGTCAGCACCTGCAGGCACTGCACGCTTGTCTGCAGGCAGGGAACTGGGGGAACATTTCCCTCCCTGCACACTTTCTCTATTATTTATAAGAGAACAGCTCTGTTGTGTCCAAGGATAGTGACAAGGGGACAGCTTCAGTTCAGTGAGCTCGCTGCTGGGGGAGGGATGCCTGTGTTGTAAAGAGGCCATCTCGGTATGCTGTTTATGGCAAAATGAAAAATTGCTGTGACCTACACAGGTTCTATTTTGAGTCTAAGTGTCTTACACGTAACCTTTGATTTCCCTCTGAGAAGAGAAAAAAGGGGATTTCAAGAGAAAGCTTAGCATTGAAAAATGATGAAACAACACCAATATTTAACATCTCCTGTTTTGTTTGTTGTTTTTTTTTTAATTGTGCTAAAACATTTTTATTGTTCATATTCAGGCTCAGTTTGTGAGCTGTGAATTTGTGCAGTTTCACCCTGGTTTTACTTATGAATGTTTCTATTACCAGCAGAGAGAGGAGGAAAACAAAGCCTTCCCTCATTCCACACACATGACCCTTCAACAGCCTGCTGCAACATTAACTGGGGTGGGCACTGCTCTCTGCCATCTGTTTCACACAGGAAATGCTCCTGGGGCCATGGCTGCAGGCTGGTCATGGCCAGCCATGGGCCTAGCACACAGCCTCCATTCCAGGTCTGCAAGCTTGGCCATCCTGGGTTCCCACCTTGAAGCTGTAAAGCACGAGTTAGAGATAGGAACTTACGGCCCCCGTCTCAGGAGTGGGCAGTCACTCAGGCGCCAGCTGACGTGTAGCAGCAACTCAAATCACATGGACTTATTTATTCGGCTGTGCTCTCAGCCCACAAAGTAGCAGGAATGCTGCCACACCTCCTGGCCTGCAGTGAATCAGGAAACAGCAGCATCACGGCAGTATGGCAGGAAAATCACATCAAAATAACTTCCTTTGCTAATTCTCTTCTTCTATGGCCCTTGCAGCAGGTTGGGGTGGCACAGCCCAGGTGGCATTCACCAGTAGGCTCTCCCTCAATATATCCGCAGTTCAGGATGGGAGCACTCAGCCTTCTCTTTCTTTTGGTGAAATGGGAAAAGCACTGATCTCTGCTTGTTTTGCCTCCCCAAAGCAGCAGCGGCGGCGAGGAAAAGGGAACGAGGCTGTTTACCAGGTAGGCAACACATCCACAGCTGCCCCCTTCAGCTATCTGTGCAGTTGAACTGCAGCCTCCATTGCATCTGCCTTCCCGTCCAAGTTATTATGGAGAAGCCCTGAGAATACTGTTCAGGGTTTCACGTCTTAGTCAGCAGAGCTCACAGTTTGCTGGCTCTTAACAGTCAATAATGCAGTTAAAATATACTCTAAAGATTGGCAAAATCGGTCACAATGAGTTGCTGCAGCCGTGTGCTGCTTACAGTTCCTCTGGCTGCATCCTGCCTCCAGGTAAGTGACACCACAGCGAGACCGAGGAAATGCTCATGAGTTAAAAAATAACCTCCGTAAGAAGCAAAAACAACAACGATGCTCTGCCACCCCCAGCATCTTCTTCCTGAGCTGACAGCCACCTCTGGAGAACCAAGCCCTCTCCTCACCTGTTTCTCTCTTTCTCAGGGGCTCAGCGCAGCGACCAAGGACACGTACGATGCTCTCCAAATGCAGCCCCTGCCCCCCCGCTAAGCGGGAGTCACAGTGGGGATGGGCAGCGGCGAGGGATGCCCACATGCTTGGGGGGAGGGAGAGGGGGTGACGGGGAAAGCTTTTTTCATCCCTAACAAAACAAGCACTGTGTACTTCCTCAGTGCAACAATCTACTTGGGTTGGTGCACCGAGGTTCCTTCTCTCCTCCTGTGGAATAATGTAACCGCAAGCTTTAGCTTCTGAAGTGTACATACCTGTAAAGTTATTTCCCACCAGTAGTTATTAGGTTGTTTTTGCAAGACTCGTGAGCAGTCCCCACCTCCTGACACAGCTGTTTCTGTAGCTCCTCCTCACCTTTTGGGGGCACCAAGACACACAGCTGCTGGCTCGTAGCATTTAAGGACTCTCGTTAGCGATAGGGCTGTCATTTCCTGCAGTGTTTATCTTCACGCCATTTGACAATCAGCCTCCTGCTTTAAATTTACCTTTTAAAAACTGCTGCAGCAGAGGGCAATTTTTATTTCTCTAACTGTGAAAAGTGATGTGGTGTCAGTGCAGCGAAGGGTGCCAGCTCTTTGACATCAAACAAGACCTGAACTCCAACAAAAGAGGAAGTGCCATGCAGACAGCACAAGGTGCTAAGAGCCAGGCAATGGCCAAGAGATGCCTGGGACGGCAGAAGCCAGCAGTGCTGCAGTGACAATGAGAATGGACTCCGAGTATGAGAAATGCTGGGAAGGCCAGGAACCTCACTCCTCCCACATGGCAGAGGGCTGCAACTGCTGAGCTTCTGCCCCATCACATTGTTCACAACACCTACAACCACCACCGCTGCAGCCACCTCCCTTTGTAAGAGCTTATGGGACGATGGCTGTGTCAGGAAAAAATAAAACTATCACTTCTGGGAAACGGATTCTTCGTATAAAAGCCAATACATAAATGCAGTTCCAAACCAGCTGAATTCATCTGGTTCCTCTAAAAAGATGCAGGTATTATTCCAAAATGGCAGTTAAGTCCATACCATAATGCATTTTTGATGAATTAATAAAGTGAGTGTCAAAGACCCACGTGTGTGCACGGTGCACTGCTGCATGGTGGTAATGTGGTCTCCTTGGCCAGCTGCTGGGGTCGGTGTTCCCCCAGCATCAGCTGGGAGGATGCGGGAAGCGATGCTGGGACAGCACCTCAAGCCCCAGCATCGATGGATGCGTTGTTCTCCTCTTGCTGCAGCCCCAGGCAGGGTTTAGAAGGCTGTGCTGTGAGAGCCTGTCAGCAATGCAGCCGGGGCAGTTGCCCTGCAGAACGAAGATTATTATTGCAGCACGGTGCAGAGGCAGGGAGCAGAGCTGAAGCAGACAAGCTGTTGGCAGCCTGGGCTGCCCATAGTGGGCCAAGGCAGGTGCACCAGGAGAAGGGGGCTGCCTGCCCCGACACATTGACAGAACACAAACAAGCGCATACGTGTTAAAACACTTGGAAAATGGTTTAATGATGTTTACAACAGAAATGAACTGTACAATTACAGTAAGTTTAATATATATAAAAAATTACAGCAGACAAATGCATCTACACAAAATCTACCTTTTCATTCTGATTTACCGTAATCTACACAATCTCTCACCGCCTACAGCTATCTGTAGGCAACCACTGGGAAAATAATAATAATAATAATAATAATTATAATTATAATAATAATAATAAAGGGCATCTTTAAAGAGACAGCACTTCGCCTTCCTCCTCACCCTCCGTGCAACCAGCAAGGTTTGAAATGTGTGGGACCCAACCCCTCAGGCTCGGGCGAGGGGCGCAGTGGGTACGGGCACTCCAGGGGGCCCTTCCTGAGCTCTGCTGACCCAAAGGTCCCGGCGCAGCGCTCGAGGGAGGGCAGGAGGAAGCGCCAGGCAGTTAAGACTGAACTTCTCTTCTGTTTTGGAAGAGAAGCAGAAGTGGCTGCTCTGACGTTGCAGCCGTTCTCTGACCACCGAGAACTATCGTTGGGTTCCAAAGGACGGGCCCTTCTTCACACAAAGGGTCGGTTTTTGAACTAACGCATTAAACAGCTTTTAGAAAACAACATTTGAGCTCCTTCCTCCTCGGCCCGTCCCTTAAGAGCAGTGAAAAAGCCTTTGCTCTGAGGAAGAGCCCCGGGTTAACGGGTGCGCGGCGAGAGGAAGATGCTGTCTCTTTAAAAAGAAAGCAAGGATCCCAGTTGGGAGCGGCCGTCAGTGAAATGCAATCCGAATTGGCGGTCTGTGGAAATTCTTCATGGAGCATTATGTACACTTTAAAAACCCTTCGTTTTTGTTTTTTTGGTTTTTTTGGTTTTTTTTTTTTTTTAATTTATTTATGAACACCTAGGCAGTGAAAACCGTTATGTTAATACATACATAGACACACCCAAAACATACAAAAATACTATTATTTCAAACTACTAAGAATAGGACAAGTTCAGTTATCTCCATGCTATGACTTTAAGAGCATTACACTGAAACAAACAAGAATTTAAACGACAATTTTTTAATATCCCAGAAATATACCAAAATATACATCTAAGCTTTGGAATTACTGAGGTTAGACTAATGCAAGTGCTGGGTAATCGTACTTAATACACAAGTCTAAGGTTCTGCAGGAAAGAAATTATCTTTGGTATCTGCATCAGGCTAATAATATTAACATTTGGATTTTGCTTTGGGATAGAGCTTGTATGACCCTAGAACCAAACACCCCCCAATCAACTGAGATTAAAAAGATCCATGTAAAAAGTTCCTCCGTTTGCAACCCCCCCAAAAAAGTTAAAAAGTCACAGGCATCTACCTAGCATAAAAGGTTGAGAAATACAATGCATAGTTGCACAGTGGTGCTGCAAAAATAAAAGAAATATAGAAAAAAGGAGCTAGAGGAGAAATGAAAAGCTTCTTCTTCTTCTTTCAGGGATTTCTCACAACAGGACAGCCTCTTCCAAGCAGTGACCGGGGGGGTGAGGGGAGGGGGGAAAGCTCGGAAGTGCACCTCAGCGTGTATTAATCGACGTCACCCAGCCCCCAGAGGGTTCGAGCACCCAGCAGAGCAGCCAATCCTGCGCCCAAGCCTTCAGCCCCCAACCCACCGGCGAGGCCCCCTCCCGGCGAGCCCCTTCCCCGGCGCCGGGCGCCTCGCAGGTGGGCTGGGCGCTGAAGACGCCCTTTGTCTTTGGTTTGTTTGTTTGTTTTGAGTTTATACAATCATTAGGAAATCTTTGGTTTTGGCTGGAAATTTTAAAAGAACAAAACAAAACAAAGAAACCGCCCCCTCCCGGCTTATAGCGCCCACCGTGACCTGATGAAGGTTCTCTGTCCCGGGGGGCAGGGGAACTACATTCAAATAAAGATGGAACGGGATCGGGAGGCAGCTGCTGGCCAGTCGGGCAGCGGGGTGGGGGGGGCGGGGATCCAGGATTGTCAAATAATAAAGAAGAAAATCAAACATTTGGAGACTTTTCTTGGGTTTCGGGTTTTTTGGTCATGTCAAAAAGCGAATAGCGTGTCTGCAGCGGGGCTGGAGGCCTGCGGGCCTCATGCAGCCCCAGGCGGGAAGAGTGGAGGGAGGGGCGGAGATTCACAGACTAATCAAGAGGACCCCTTGTAACCAAAGGAAAGAAGATACAATTGCAATTTGCCCTCACTTTGCAGTAGCTTTAAGCAGCGACATTCAGAGGCGTAAGGGGGTCGCTCCCCGGGCTGCAGGTCACGGGGTGCTATAGGCCAGAGTTCAGTGTTCGTCAGAGGAGGGAGGGCAGACTTGGCAACTCTGTAGGGTTTGGAGAAAGTTAAAGCAAGTTACTCGGTTACGAGTTAGAAATGAGGTATACGACAGCTCCTGTACCTGTGGCGGATAAACACCCCACACCTACTCACACCTAGCCTTAGACACTACCACAGAGGAAGGAAATGGAACAACGGCACTGGCGGGACAAAGAGGTACTGCCTGGCTGCCCCCGCCCGCTGCACCCCTGCCAACAGCCGCGGCAGCTCGGCAGCCATCCCTTCCCCACGCCAAAGGGAGGCCTGCCCGGCTGCCCAGCACTTCTCGGGGCGGCTCCACCTCTTCCGCATGGCGCTCTGCCCTCGCACTCGCTCAGGGCAGGCAGCACCAGGGCCAACAGCGGCCAACGTGTGGAGGATGGACGGGGGAAGAACTGACGGTTTTGTCTCAACTGCCTCGTTCTCAGGACACTGTGACTGGCGCCCTCGCATTCTCGGTTATTTCTCGAGGGGGCTGCGTGATGTCCATCGTTTGCCCCTTGGCATGCGGCTTCCAATGTCACTGGATTCCGTCCGCTCGGTAATTTCAGATTGCTGTAGCACCACAACACACCAGCTTCGTCCGCACACAACGTTATCACATTCAGGGAAATAGGGCTTAAGTAGCTGCTGCGACAAAATTCAGCAAAGGCAATATGAATCCTGAAGTGGGGCCTATCGTAGGTAAGAGAATTTTGTGAGGACAGGGGAAGCTACCTTGATAAGTTAAGCATTTGATGGTTTTACGTAAAGCTCTGCAGGAGGACATCCACCAGCAGACTGAACCGTTCTTAAGACAGATCAGCGCATTTTGGTTTGAGCTACTTGACAATGTCCTGTTTGGTAGAGAGATGAGATAAGGCAGAGGGGGTGTGTTCCAGTTCTGGGGCTGAGCCTCAGCAGCACTAAAGGAACGCCAAAGGGCATTGTCTTCCCTCGCCTCCCACAAGCTGTTTCATTTCCTTCCTCAGATTTGTTTTCCTTAAAGCACACCTTGTTTTCCACTTCTTTTGTTCCAAGTGTTCTTTTCTTTGAGAAGTCATTTCTTCAATATCCCTATTACCTACCTATAAATCTAACTAGCTCTTTGAAAAGTCACACAATATTAATACCACTTTTACATAATGTCAGAACAACAATTCTATTAGTAAAGCTTTCAGTGAAGTTCTGCAACCCGATTGGCGTCTGGAGGAAGAGCGGCTGGACAACCCACCTCGCCCCCTTCCTCCCTCCCTTTCTTCACAAGAGCTCACCAAGCTCACCGGTAAAACAACTCAGCCCAATAGCACGAGACATGGACATGTACAAGGCTACTTTGGGGAGCAAAGAAAGGAGACTTCGTGGCCCCCCTAAGAGGAGGGCCGTACACAAAAGCTGTTGAACAGACTCTGACCTTAGACTACACTGCTTCCTCACTCGAAGGACAGAAACAGTTTTCCCTGACTGTATCCCAACATCAGCCTAAGACCTGAAGCACTGGGCAAGCCCCACACGCAGTTCGTCTTCACAGAGCCAAAGCAACTCTATGCAGAAAAGGCGGGAGTACCCATGAGAGATCAGGTCCTTTCAGAAAGGGACAGTGACCCCAACTCAACAAAAAAAACCCACCCAGCTTTCTCTCTTACCCGCTCTGAAAACAGCAGAGCTGACGACGTATCAGTGCCTTTGGTTCCCCACGAGGCCACTGGGAATTCTCCCACCCCAGTGGAGTCGAGCTCCTCTCCGCATCACCGCACGCACGCACGCACACTCTCTCACACGCACCCCTCTTCCCCCGTGCCATAGGCCTTGAAGGGAAACGAGAAGGGAGCCTTGGGGTGCGGATGGCAGGGCCACACATCCCTCCCAAGGTAACACCACTCACCGCAACGCCGAGACGCCAGCAGAACGACCCACACTCTCCCAGCCACCCTCAAAGCCCCCCTCCCACCACAGTCTCACAGTATTTCAACCCGTTCAGGCACACCAGCCAGGTGTTAGGAGTAGGTTAGCTTTCACTTCTCAGTTTGGTTTTTCTTTCATAGTTTTTGGTCTAGACAGATTAGCATTGCTATTAGAAAAGGAAGTGTTTAAAAAGTTTTCCATCTATTATCAAGCACTACAAGCCCTACATTCAGTAACAAGACAAGGGGGATAAAAGGAACCTGTTTCATTTTTGCTCTCCCAGACAGATTAAGATGTGACAACCATTCTTCGCCCTCCCCGAAGTCAAACACAATGGACCCAATTCAGCTCTGGTGCAACTCAACTAACTGGAACGGATTTACGTCTCGGTTGAGTCTAA